CATGTGGGAATGGAACCTCCGGCCTGGAGCTCTGGATGTGCATTTGGGTGTGGTCAGCACGTAGACACCAACTGAAGCTACCAGAGTGGATGAGATTAGCCCTCAAGGTGGTATTGAGAGAGTGCAGAGAAACCAGGGCAGGGTCTTTGGGCCCCTGTGCCTAAGCCAGCGCATAATAGACATCTCTGCTTCCGGGTGGGGCTTCCTGACCGTGGCTGCTCTTCAGCATCATCTGGGGAGCTTTAAAAACTGCGGACGCCGGACGACACCCCAGTCACACCAGAATCTCCAGGACTGGGACCTGGAGGTCGTATTTTCCAAAGCTCGCCGGGTGATCCCAGTGAGAAGCACTGAACTGTCAGTGAAAGAGGCTTTGTACTCTGTCCTTTGTACAGCTCGTGCTCCGTCCCTCCTCTCTTACCTGCTACTGTGAGACTTCGCGCACAGGGATCTCTTTTCTCCAACTTTCAAGCACGTGTTGTCAACACCACCTGGTGCTGTTGCCCCTGACTGGGTGCACTTCCCGGTTGGAGTGACCCTGTTCGGACAGGACCCATCCCGTTCCTCTTCCTACCCTTGCTACTCTAGCGGAGGGTATGGTGCCCAGCCAGGATCAGTATAGATCAGTTCAGTGTACAGCATCGAGCTCCATTTCCAAAGGCCCTTGAGCACGCCCTGCATTTTCTCCTGGATTTCCCTCCTGCTGCGACTTTCTCCTGCACACTGACCAGAACTCAGAGGCCCCTTCGAATCTACATTTTATGCAAAAGCTTTCTTTGTAGAAGAAATGTTTAAGCTAGAGAATCACGTAATACTTTGCTGTGATCTACCAGAGAGCTGATTTTATTAAGCTTTTTTTAAAAAAATCAAAGATGAAGAGAGAAGAGGAGAGAGTTCCTTTTTCCTGTAGCATTTTGTCTGTTTCATTGATGAAAGCTCGGGGGCAAAGCACCCGGCTTGGTGTTTCTCCTCATCAGCTAGTCTTCTCGGCTAGGCTTTGAAATAGACTTGCTTCTCAAGTCCACTGGCAGGTGCTATAGGTAATAACCTACACATTGATTTGAGATTTGAGATTTTTATTTTTTTTTTATTTTTTTATTTTTTGCCATAAGTTATTAGGGTACAGGTGGTATTTGGTTACACGAGTAAGTTCTTTAGTGGTGATTTGTGAGATTTTGGTGCACCCATAACCTGAGCAGTATACACTGCACCCTCTTTGTAGTCTTTTATCCCTCACCCCCCTCCCACTCTTCCCCACAGGTTCCCAAAGTCCATTGTGTCATTCTTAGGCCTTCGCGTCCTAGTGAGAATATATGATGTTTGGTTTTCCATTCCTGAGTTATTTCACTTAGAATAATAATCTCCAGTCTCATCCAGGTCATTGCAAATGCTGTTAATTCATTTCTTTTTATGGCTGAGTAGTATTCCATCGCATATACATACCACAGTTTTTTATCCACTCATTGACTGATGGGCATTTGGGTTGGTTCCACAATTTTGCAATTGTGAATTGTGCTGCATGTGCAAGTATAAACATCCATGTGCAAGTATCATTTTCATATCTTTTCCTCTGGGTAGATACAGTAGTGGGATTGCCGGATCAAATGGTAGTTCTACTTTTACTTCTTTATAGAATCTCCACACTGTTTTCCACAGTGGCTGTACGAGTTTACATTCCCATCAGCAGTGTAAAAATGTTCCCTGATCATGCGAAAAAATAAAATCCTAGTGGCAAGGCCAAAATAAAATGCCCACAAATGCAGGTCACCCCTACATTCAGCAGAAAGAAGGGTAGGAGGTCTGGTGCTCTAGGTTGCAGTCAGCCAAGATCGCACCCCTGCACTCCAGCCTGAGTTGGATATGTTGGCGTGCTTCTGGGGTCTTGCGTCCCTTCTCCCCTGATTCTTCCCCTGGGGTGTGCTGTCTGCATGCACAGTGGCCTGCCAGCACTTAGGAGGGAACATACACAGTGTATTTACTGGTATCTGACGTAGAAGTGATGGCCCATGAAGGAAGAGGGCGAGGCCTCTGGGATTTAAAGATGAGGGTTTGGGTTTTGTTAGCAGCAAAACGTATCCAAGTCATGCGGCACCAAAGTACGTTAGTAGTGGCAAATGCATACGGGCGTGCAGCAACCTCAGTTCTCGCCTCCTCAGAAGAAAGAATTGGACCAAGGAGGCAGAAGGAGAGACCAGGCTCGGCAAGTTTGAGAGCAGGAGTGGAAGTTTATTAGAAAGCTTTAGAGCAGGAAGGAAAGGAAGGAAGGGATACTTGGAAGAGTGCAGGGTGGGTGACTTGAAAGACAGGTGCACTGGCCGGGCGCGGTGGCTCACGCCTGGAATCCCAGCACTTTGGGAGGCCGAGGCGGACAGACCACTTGAGGTCACGAGTTCAAGACCAGCCTGGCCAAAGTGGTGAAACCCCCGTCTCTACTAAAAATACAAAAACTAGCCAGGCGTGGTGGCACACCCCTGTAAACCCAGCTACTCGGAAGGCTGAGGCAGGAGAATCGCTTGAGCCCGGGAGGCAGAGGTTGCAGTCAGCCAAGATCGTGCCACTGCCCTCCAGCCTGGGTTTTATATGTTGGCATGCTTCTGGGGTCTTTCGCCCCTTCTCCCCTGATTCTTCCCTTGGGGTGTGCTGTCCGCGTGCACAGGGGCCGGGAGGGAGCATGCGCAGTGTGTTTACTGGAGTTGTGCACATGCTCACTTGAGACGTTCTTCCCTTACCAGTCGAATGTCCCTGAAAGGTCCTAGACCACTTAAACTCCACCATTTTGCCTCTTAATGTGCATGCTTGAACCCACTGGCCCAACCCCTGAGATCTTATTGGGAAGCTACTGATTGCCAGCTTCCGGTGTTTCTGTTTATCAGGAGACTGCCTTTCGCTAGTGCAGGCTGTGACCAATGATTATTACAGAGACAGTAAACAACCTCCTGCCCGTCATGGGATGGTCACCTGACATTGCTGGTGTGTGTATGTATTGGAAGGAGCCCTCTCCTGCCCTGCTCATGCCCGACTAGCTCCCCACTGTAACATGACCACCTACTCGTCTCTGGGGCCTCAGTTCTCAGCTCCGAAGCAGAGGTCCTAGGGCTGGCCCCTCACAGTGGTGGTGAGAGTAGATGAGGGAACCCATGGAGGCTGCCTTAGGTGCCAGCACAGAGTCCAGCCCCCAGCCTGGCCTCCAGTCCTGCTGCTGCCACACTGGACCTGTGTGACTAGGGCCGTCACTTAACGTCTGCAAGCCTCGGTTTCCTCGTCTGCAAACAGGGATGATACCAGTGGTTCCTGCTTCGTAGGGTTCAGATGAGATGAGCAGGTTATTCCACATGCGCGAAGGCCTCCAGGAGGAGGCAGCGCCAGGTGTGTGCTGGCTCTGGCCATGTGTGATGCTGGGCACATGGGTGGCTGATGCCTGGCACACGTCTGCCAGCTCACTCACTGCAGTTATCACACCACACCGGCTCAGGGATCAGGATTAAAATTTGGGATTCTGAGTTCCTAAATTCTGTGACTCTGGGTCTGCAAAACACTACCTACCAAATGGTGTTTGTGGCTGGCACTCTTTTCTCTCTGAATGTCCGTGTGTGCTGGGGCCTGGGAATGCAGCCGGCCCAGGCGTTGGGCCAGCGCAAGGATCCAGTTCAATCAGTGCCCACTTCTGCCTTTGAAGGTGCATAATCTGCTTTATAGCCCCGACTTGCCACTTCATACATAATGACGGGGAGGCAGACACAGTGGAGTGTCCCTAGTGATTTTTCCATCACTCATTGAATGACTGTCTTGGTTTAAAATCATGCCTGCTGCCTTAATGATGTTTTAAGAAATATAAAAATAGGAGTACATAACGCTGTATTCACCACGGCTTTTATCTGTCACAATTTCGCACAAAGCACAAATTGTTGCAAAAATACCTGAACTTCGCTATCATGGGGGTGCTTTGAAGAGATTGTTAGGTGTACAGCAATTATTCACGGGCCCACGGTAAGTCCCATCCCAGCTCTGTCGCGAGGCCCTGCTTGTCCAGAGGGGCTCGGAGCCGCCTTTCAGGGGGAGCCTGGGCCACAAAGGCACAGCCAAACAGAGATGAACAAATAGCCTCGTGGGGGCCCGAGTGCTGAAACGGGTTTTTCTCATGGTAAGCAAACTTGAATAAACCTGGGAACGGCCAGAGGCGGTAATTAAAACTCATGGCCCAGTTCTCCATTCATTTTCAGCAGGAAACTGGGGGTTTCTTTCGAGCCAAACTGAGAGGATGTTGGGGTCCTAGAGCAGAATGTTTGTCCTCAAGCTTGTCCTGCCTGTCAGAACAGGACTGAGAGAGGAGGGGGTTGGGGAGGGAGGGGGACTTCTGCTGCTGTGAAGGAGGGGACGTGGTGGGGCAGGTTTCGAGCTGCAGAACATTCCTGTGCCTGTGCAGCACAGCTGAGGAGCCGGACAGGGAGCGTCTCGCCCTGCTCCTGGGAGAGCAGATGCACACCTGAGAGGGAAGTGCATTTACAACCAGGGCTCTGCACACCCCAGAGGGAAGTGCATTTACAACCAGGGCTCCGCATACCCCAGAGGGAAATACATTTACAACCAGGGCTCTGCACACCCCAGAGGGAAGTGCATTTACAACCAGGGCTCTGCACACCTGAGAGGGAAGTGCATTTACAACCAGCGCTCTGCACACCCCAGAGGGAAGCAGGTTTGCAGCCAGGGCTCTGCACACCCCAGAAGGAAGTGCATTTACAACCAGGGCTCCGCATACCCCAGAGGGAAATACATTTACAACCAGGGCTCCGCACACCCCAGAGGGAAGTGCATTTACAACCAGGGCTCTATATACCTGAGAGGGAAGCATGTTTACAACCAGGGCTCTGTACACCTGAGAGTAAAGGGCATTTACAACCAGGGCTCTGCACACCACAGAGGGAAGCACATTTACAAGCAGGGCTCTGTATACCTGAGAGGGAAGTGCATTTACAAGCAGGGCCCTGCCTTTTCCTCTGCAGGTGGCTCGACAGCTCCAGCCCTCCGTGGTGTGGATTGAAGACACAGAAAAAACCTTCTACAAAAAAGTTCCCAACGCAGAAAAGACGGTGAGGACTTTCTCATGCCTTACTTTGGCCTTTTCTTTCCTCCAAAGGAGGCCCTTACCAGGGCCTACCTCTACTTTTCGAGAAGGCCTTGCCTTTTCAAGCAAGTAAGGAAACACAGAGGCTCTCTGTAGTGGTCTCTGTCTGTCTGTCCTCTCCGTATTTGAAAGGGTTCTGTGGTCTGACTTTATGAGGCATAGTTTGGAAGGAAAGGAAAGAAAGCGTGGAAGAAAGGGGAGAGGGATTTTCCACCCAAACATACGATTCAGAGGTAATGAACAATTTAGAGAACTCTGCTCAGTTAAAGCAAATGGCACATATAGGAGTTATTATTAGGATTTCCTATTGTTCATCATAATAAATAGCAAAAGACCCAAAATTTATGAACAAAGACCCTCAACAGAACTGCTAAGTGCACAGCATTCGGGGCCTCCAGGGAGTCCTGTTTCAATTGCTTCCTTCCTTCTTTTCTCTCCTTTCAATGGTCCCCCCGACCCGCCACTTCCCCCCACAAATCACCAGCAAATTTCCCACAAGTTAAAAAAATGTGCAGATACACGAGATTGTTATTCCACATCAATTTGCACCAAAGCAAATAGTGGTTAACTGTGAATTTCTGATTAAATTCATAAGGATTTTAATCACTTTTGATCCTTATGTATTATACATCACTTTTCGCAGGTAGAGATGATTTGGATAAAGAGTGGAAGCTCAATCTTTTCTTCCCCAAATGAGCCTTGATTGCCCTGTCATTTCAGAAAGTGTTCAGAGAACTCATTTATTATTTAATCTGGGATTCTAGTAGTTCGCTCCCTCTGCTGGCGAAGTTGCTGCATTGCATAAAAACTTGAAAAGGTCCACAAGTAGTTATGCAAAATGGATGGCAGGAATGACGGGGCTCTCCACCAGGTCCCACGTCTAAGAGAAATGCAGGGCAGTGTTTCGTCCCAGGTGTCACACACCTGGAGTTATCAGAAACCTGGCTCATTCATGGGCAGGGGCTATTCCCTCTCCCGCCACACATCAGCCTGGGGAATGGAAGACACTGGCCTGGAACTCACGCCAGCCATGCACAGCATTCACACAGCTGGCTGTGTGTCCTTAAACAGGTAACTTAACCTCTCTGAGCCTCCGCTTCCTTTACTATTAAATGAAAGCATTTTAGCCTGCGCGGACTCCGAGTTCATGCAGCCCCCTGCATTCTCCCACAGTGCCCTGGGCTTGCCATCAGTGTTTGCGGCTGTCTGCTCACTGCACGTCTGAGTCTCAGAGAGCAAAGGGAATGGGAATGTTCCTCCTGAGAGAGCCAGAGGAGCACTGGGGAAGGAGCGCTGAGAGGGGGCCTTTGAGAGAAAGCTGGAGGCAGGGAATGAAATATAGGCCCTGTAGACACCCTCGCATAAAGGGAGTGGATGTGAGGGGAAGGAGGCCCGCTGAGGAGGGAACAGAAAGCCATGAAGCAGCAGCCGAGCCTGCAGAACCCTGCCCTGAATCAGCCCTTTTGCTGCTGACACAGAGCGAACCTCTCAGCACCGTCCCTGATTCGCGCAAACCCTGCCCATGCCTCGCTTTGTCCCTGTAGGAAATGAAGGCCACTGGAGGCATGGTCTTTGTTGTGGACGAATTGGACGTTTTCTCGGTTCCCTTCCCATTAGAGGAGTCCGTCGTCTGTTGGGGAGGTCAACTGCACTGAGGACCAGGAGTCACATCCTGGGATAAGTCCTAGGAGACTGCAAGCCAAAGGGCACCCCAGCTTCCTAAGCATCTGCAAGGCCGACCAGGGGACGTGAGCCACCCCAGACTCAGAGCTGCAAGAGGCATGAAGACCATCCTCCACCCCCCACCCCCAGTATTTCCACCCCTGGCTCCAGTGCTGCAGCAGGAGAGGGGCGGGGGAGGAAACCATTGCTTGTGCATGCCCAGCTCTACACGGAACTCCAGCTCCACTCGGCCTGCACCGTGCAGTGATAGCATTGCAGGGCCTGCCCTCAGGGAGCAGGGCTGCAGAGTTCCTGCTGCCTTCCCGCGTCTCCAGGGCCATGACTGGGCCAGTCCTGCTGTCCTTCCCAGCCTCCCAGCCTCTGAGACTCTGTGTCTCATCCAAGATCCTCAGCCACCAGGGCCCCAGGTAGCGCCATGAGCACTGGAAGTCCACATTCAGAAGGTGACCAAAAGCCAAGGGCAGCAGAGGCATCCACAGGCAAGAGGAGCCCAGGAGGCACTGTAACTGGCTCCTCATTGCATCACTTAGCCACCTAGGGAGCCCAGTGTCCTTCCTCCCACCTGCCCCGGCCTCTGTCCCAAAGACTGCCCTGATCCCAAGGGCACAGAGGCACAGAGAAGAACATCCAGGAGGCTGGCACTCCACCAGCTACAGCCGCCATACAGGCAGCAGGGCCGACCTTGCCCTGGGGTTAAGGGACTCTGGGAAATCCCCTTGAAAATCCACAGTGACTGAAGGCACCCTCCAGCACCTCTGCCTTTGGGGTGAGGCCCCTCCCACAGTCAGAGGCAGGGAGTTCACCCGGGGATGGGGCATGGCGAAGACCAGTGACGCCTCCCGAGCATGGAAGCCAAACTTCGCGGGTGCAGGGACACTGCTGTGGACAGGAAAAGGGGGACCCCGGTGGTGGTGGGGGACGTCGATTGAACACCTCCTCTTTCCCAAGCACAATACATATGTCAGGGAAACTCCCAGCAACCCTGAGAGGAAGGCATTGTTTTTTCTGTGTCACAAAAGAGAACAAAGGCTCCCAGAAGGCACACAGCTGCTCAGGGCTTATGCTGGGATTCAGAAACAAGGTTGCCAGAATGCAGAGGCCAGGACCTTCTCCCGCCCATGCACAGCACGGGCTGGAAGACACCGAGGGCAAACCACCAGCTTCGCCTTCTGCCCATACGGTCAGCCCTCCTGGTGCACCTAAACCACACCGCATCCCTGCGGCCCTCTCAGCCCTGGGGCTGCTCTAAACATCATCCCCAAACCTGCCTTTGGGGCCCTCTTGTCTTAGAACCAAATGGGCCCTACTCTGGAATTCTCTGTCCTCCTGCCCACACTCCTGTTCCCCTCTCACTGTCCTCAGCAACCTTTGAGAGAAGCCCTCACACCTCTAGAATTTCAGCAAAGTGCAAACTCCAAGTAGGCCCCCCCCAACCCCTGCCACTTTTACAAACACACCCCTGCCCCCGGCAGACACCTGGACCAGGCCCGCTCCCTTTCTTCTCCTCCTAGAAGGAGAGCAGTATCTCCTCCCATCTGCACCTCGAGTGCACTCAGTCAGTTGTTTGTCTGAGGCGAAGGCGGTAAAGAATGAGGCGCACAGGCTGCTCCTGCATTTTCTGCCCCATTACCCTTTGTTACTTCATCTAGCAAGCGCCTCCCTGACATCACGATAGTGCCTCCACCAAGGAATTGCTGCTTTCTGGGGGCTGGCTGTGGCGGTTGTTTTGTGGAGCTAACTGCAGAATAGCAAATTGAAATTGCTGCGTGGATGCTAGCCACTAGTTTGAAATTGCCCAAAGAAATACAGTTGTGAGGGACTGGCAGGCCCCGCAGTAGGGGCGGCGGTTTTGGAGGTGGCCAGGTGACTGTGGGGTGGTTTGCTGGCATGATTGACGAGTGCACAGGTCTCGTGCATAATGGACAGCTCTGCACTGGAACAGGGGTGGTCTGAGGGTAGGGGAACTACCAATTGAATGACACACCCATTTCTGTCCCCTCTTCATGGGACTGCACCTCACCGTCAGCAAGGATGTCACTCTGGACATTGCCCAGGATCAATGTTTGTTATCCAAATAGGCTGATTCATTTCAAACGTCCCTGCCATTTCAGGACACAAAGGTAGCAGTATCATGTCCTGCCTCAGAAAGGGCAGGGATCACACTGCCATCACCATGGCAACTGGGTTGCTGAGGATGGGCACAGACCATGCAGGTGTGTCTCTAGCCCCATGGATTCTCAGTCTCCAGCCTCACCAGGACCCTCAGATCAGTCCTACTTCCATTGTTCTTTGGGCAGCTCACATGTGCACCCCACATGCCCAGTCACTGCCACCACCTGCTTTGTTCTTTAAAGGCGAGTCTCACCCCTCAACCCACCACCATCAGCTTGCTGCCCCCACCACTCTATAGAAATTGTTCTCACAAAGTTCTTAGGGCTGGGCACGGTGGCTCACACTTGTAATCCCAGCACTTTGGGAGACCGAGACAGGCAGATCACTTAAGGTCAGAAGTTCGAGACTAGCCTGGCCAACAAGGCAAAACCTTGTCTCTACTAAAAATACAAAAATGAGCCGGGCATGGGTGGTGCGTACCTGCAATCCCAGCTACTGAGGAGGCACAAGAATCACTTGAACCCGGGAGGTGGTGATTGCAATGAGCAGAGATTGTGCAACTGCACTCCAGCCTGGATGACACAGCGAGACTCTGTCTCAAAAATAAAAGAAATTATTCTCACAAAGTTCTTTGACATGAGAAGTGCAAGACTTTTCTGAAAACTACAACAACATTGTTGAAAAATATAAAGGAAGCGTAAATAAATGGAAAGACATTTGTATTCATTGGTTGAAAGACTTAATCTTGTTAAGATGGTAATAATTCCCAAATTGGCCTACATATTCAATGCAATTCCCATGAAATAGCTGGCTTATTTGCAGAAATTGGTAACTGATCCTAAAATTCATCCAGAAATTCAAGAGATCCAGCCAAAACATTCTTCAAAAGAAAAATTAAGTTGGGGGATTCACATGTCCCAATTTCATTTTCCAACTTACCACAGACCTACAACAATCAAGACAGTATGGTACTGGCCTAAGAAGAGATATAGATCAGTGGATCACAATCAAGAATCCAGTAATAAAGCCTTATATTACAGTTCATTTTGACAAAGGTGCAAAGACAATTCAATGCAGAAAGAATAATCTTTTCAATAAGTGGTGCTGGGACTATTGGATTGCTACCTGCAAAAGAAAGAGTTGGACCCTTACCTCACACCATATACAAAAATCAACCCATAATGTATCAAAGACCTAAAAATAAGGGCTAAAACTAGAACAATCTTAAAAGAAAATATAGGCATAAATTTTGTGACCTTAGATTAGGCAGTGGTTCCTTAGATATGACACCAAAAGCACAGGCCACAAAAGAAAAACTGCACCTCATCAAAATTAAAAACTTTTTTGCTGCAAAGGACATCCTCAAGAAAGTGAAAAGACAACCCACAGAACAGGAGAAAATGTTTGCAAACCATGTAATATTGAGGGTTTTCTATCTATTAATAGAACCTACAAAGAACCCTTACAACTCAATAATAAAAAAGACAAATAACCCAACTTTTAAAGTGGGCCAACAATCTAAATACACATTTTTCCAAATAAGATACACAAATGACCAATAAGCACATGAAAAGATGCAGGAACATCATTAGCCATCAGCCAAATGGGAGCAAAAATGGCCTCGACTGTGCTTGGGAAGTCTCTGCAGAGGCTCTCACCATTGCCCCTGGTGTGCTCCTCCTTCCCAGGCTTCCTCTTTGCTGTCTGCACTGGGGGCGAGGTTCATTGGCGGCCAGGCTGTTGCCCATGGCAACATGGTCAGATCTGACTCCCACGGGCTGGAAGTCGTCCTCCCTGGGGTGCTGAACAGCCAGCCTGTCCTCGTTCGTTCCTCTCCCTCATTAGTGCTGAGATTATACTAAAATAATTCAGGTTCAAACTATTTCCCAACTGCTTCAGAGAGATAAGTTTCACAATCTTATGTAACCAGGTATTTTTCAGACATGAGATGCAGGAGCTGGGCTCTTCATTGTTTCAGCAATCGGCAAAGGAAGTCTTGTGTCCAGCTTCCAAACAACTCAGGAAAATGGGAGCACCACAGCTCATTACAAGTCCCAGTGAGCTTCCTTCCATTTGTAAATCAGCCACCACTTCCCATTCCTAGGGTCAAGGTGCTTCCTTCCTTCCCACCCTCTAAATCTGGACACCAGAGGTTGAGGAAAGGAAACACTGACAATTAAAATCCACTGGGTCATGCTAGGGAGCACATTCCAAGACCCATCCCAGGATAAACCTTAAGAAATTGTGTTTGTCAGAGCTTTGCAATCACTTTAACAAACGATGCTGCAACACATTCTAAGTAAATTTTCTTTCATTTTTTCATTCTTTTTTTCTGTATGTGGACCTATTTTTTTTCTCTCTCTCTCCCAGAATGAACCTAAACGCCTGAAAAGACACCTTCCCCAAATCCTGAAACTCCTGAAACCAGATGACCGGATTCTGATTGTGGGGACCACACGGCGTCCCTTCGATGCTGAACTCCAATCTTTCTGCAGAGTTTACCAGAAAATTATTTTGGTGCCTAGACCAGACTATGCTTCCAGATACGGCAAGTACCCCCAGCGCCTTCCCATGCATGGTAGCTGAGGCTGGGCTGTCCGCTGTGTGCTTGCCAGGAGGGTGGCCCTTGGACCCAGTGTGCCCCAGATGAGGGGAGCCTGCACCCGGTGGGGTGAGTGCACCTGCATCCAACACAGAGCACGTGGTGCAGATGTAAACCACTAGGCCACATTCTGTTCTTAGCTTATTTCTCTCTACCCAAGACAAAAGGAAACTGGACGAGGATTATGATTTCTGACCCTGACAGTGACAAAAGCCTTGTGGGTACTGATTCTTCTTGGGACAGGTAGATAGGATCACTCACCTTGCACCCATGGTGATGGTGTTTTCCTCATAGAGTGTAGTTTCTTTTCACCGGGTTAGGTTTTTTTTTTTTTTTTCTTCCAGTCTCAAAGTCCAGTTGCATGATGATTTACTTAAAATGAACATTAAAATACAAGGAGAGCTTGCTTTTTCAATTCTTTCTCCTTAAATAGATTCAAAATCCACTACTTTTGAAACATGTTTTTTAATGGGAATGACACAAAAAAAGGGCCCCTGGCAGGCAAAGCAGTGGAGTGGGGAGGAGCCTGGGTCGGGGCTCTCCGGACGCCTGGCTCAGAATCCTGGTTCTGCCCCTGCATAGCTGGGTGACCCTGACAAGTCGGTCACCTTCTGAGCCTCCATCTTCTCATCTGTGAAGCAGGAGAACGGTTCACGCCACAGGGCTGCTGTGACACTCACGAGGTGTTAGCAGAGCACCTGGCCCCATGTGGCCCCCAGAGAGAAAGGGTGTTGGCAGCAGTGGTGGTGGAGGTAGAGGAAGAGAAGAGGGGGGCGTGGGCTGGGCAGGAGGAGGGAATGGCGAATGGCAAGGGAGGCTGAGGAGAGTACTGGCGGCCGTTCCATTATCTAGTGCTGTGTGAAAACCTCCCTGAAGGCTCAAGCAGCACATTATTCCACTGTGTGCTTTCAGCGGTTGTCTGGGCAGAGCTGGGGCGTTCTCCTTAATGTACCTCATGACGTGAGAGTCACATGAAAGTTGAGGCTCCTTCGTCTGGAGACTGGGCAGTGTGGATACCCAGGATCACTCGCGCATGTGACTGGAGTTGCTGCTGCCATCATGGGCACTGAGCGGGACCTATGTCGACTGGGCAGGCTGCACCTGGCCCAGGGCAGCTTCTCACACCCGGCAGCTGGGTCCCACGAGGAGTTATCTCATGAGCACATGTTTCAAGAAGTTGGGGCAGTAGCTGAAATGATTCTTGTGACCCAGCCTCACAAGCCACAGAGTGACCATCTCCACCCTCTGCTGGTCAAGAGGAAGGCACAGGGCCAGCCTAGATTCCAGGGCAGCCGGGGACACACGGGTGTGAATGCACAGGGGTGGCTCGTGGCGGGGCCACCGTAACACTGCACTGATGGGGGAGCGGTGAGGACTTGGAGGTGAGATGGCGATGGCGCTGTCAGTGTTAGAGATGGTGGAGGGGGTTGGCCGGAGGTGACAGCATGTGCTAATGGAGACAGAAGTGCTTGCTGGCAGTAGGGGTGGAGGCAGTGTGGGATGACGCTGAGGAGGCAGAGATGGGGTGGCTGTGTTGGTGGCAGTGTGGGTGGCTCTGGGGAGGGTGTTGGGAATGGTGGCAAAGGTCACATTTGACACTGGAGATGAGGACGGTCAGTGGCAGGAGCAGTCGAGGTGCTGGTGGCAGTGGTGGTGGCCATGGTGGCAGTGGTGGTGGCCGTGGTGGCAGTGGCGGTGGTGGTCAGCATGAATGATAGTAATACAGTGATTAGGTCAGACTTGGTTTCTGTTCTTCCTTCTTCAATCACATGAGCACTGCAAAGCAGAGGGCACGTATGGTCCTCTCTGGCTGTTCATAAGTTGCTGCTCAATTTTCTTTGCTAAAAGAACAACCCCCTACTCTCCACATGCTATAAACGACTAGCTTCTTAGCCACTGTGTTTGCAACATGTGCTTATTTCCATCTTGATAAATTGTGATGCTGGCCTTTTTTTTTTTTTTTTTTGAGACGGAGTCTTGCTGTGTCGCCCAGACTGAAGTGCCGTGGCACGATCTCGGCTCACTGCAAGCTCCGCCTCCTGGGTTCACGCCATTCTCCTGCCTCAGCCTCCCAGTTAGCTGGGACTACAGGTGCCCGCCACCACGCCCAGCTAATTTTTTTTGTATTCTTAGTAGAGACGGGGTTTCATCGTGTTAGCCAGGATGGCCTTGATCTGTTGACCTCGTGATCTGCCCGCCTCAGCCTCCCCAAGTGCTGGGATTACAGGCATAAGCCACTGTGCCTGGCCGATAAATTGTGATCCTGGCTTTCTAAATCAATGTTATACACAAAATACAGGAAGACTTTAGGCCCAGCTATTTCTGCATCCGTCTAGTGCCTTCTTCATCTTTTAGGGCCTCAAAACGCCTCCGCCACGAACCCTTTGCACCCAGCCAGCATCAAAAGAAGCAAGGGAAGACAGGATGGAGGAGTCACAGGAGATCTTAAGGACTAGACCCAGAAGAGGCCAACGTTTCCTCCAGGCAGATCACATTGGCCAGAATGAAAAATATGGATGAAGGGGGTAGGGCTGTCCAGCCAAGAAAGAAGACAGCGCGAGATGGGCGGGCACACAGTCTCGCCGCAGCCCACACAGCCGATGCCGGGGGTTCCACGCCCCTGGCCTTAGCAGGGCTACCCCTCTCTCCTCTCATGTACTCTTCTTTTTTTCTTCCTTTTTTGTATTGTGTCTATATTTTAAGCTATGTTAATGGAATAAGGTGGGGTATTATTAATTCAAAGGGGCTGGAGCATTATTCTGGACTCTGAACAGAATGGTTTTTATTGTTTGACAAAACTATAGGCCCTTTAAAAATGAAGCTATTGATGGATGGCTGGCAATTTTGTTCTTTTGATAAAACACCACGCATCCTTTAGGATTCAAATCACACTACAGATTCCTACCTGAATCTCCTCACAGCATCGTGATGGGAGAGGAAGGAGAGAAAGCGTCCCTCCACCTATGCGCAGATGATAAAGCTGCACCAGACACTGCTCTCAGGCCCTGGGTTCTGTCCACTGAAGCACATGCTCCTCAATATTTCTGTCTTGGGGAGTGATGTGTTCAGGCCACCATTCTGGCTGACATCATTGCCCCTTGTCCAGCATTTCCTCCAGTGACCTTGAAGTTTTCATAGCCACAGTGGCTGGGACATCTGTCTTAGAGAAAGACTGTTCTTATCTTTGTGGCGATCAAAAGTGGTCTCTTCCAGTCCATAAAGCAAGGGCTGCCAATCCGTAGCATGGACGGCGGCTTGGCCATCTCTCCACCCGCAATGGAGCTCGAAGGTGTGCGACAGTCCCCACGGCCCCACTCCTCAAATTCCTCCAGGCCATGTGGGGACAGACAGTGCTGAGAAGTGAAGGGCGGATCTGTGGAGGAAACGCAGCCCTCAGGTTCACCAAACGTCATTCAATCTCTCCTTTTTTCCCCCAAACCAAGCTGTCTCTGCAAAGAAAATCCACCCCCCAGGCTGATGGATGCCCTGTCTGGTCCCCAGAAATCCCTTCGGGCTTCCTTTTCTCCACATTCCCAGTGCCCTCCTCCTCTTGCCTCTCTCCCTGGGGTCAATTTCGCTAATAACCCAATTCATCACAGGCCCACCCGGACCCAGTGTCTGGTCAGATGGGTCCAGGATTTGTCTTTAGCCTTTTCTGCAATCCCAGGCTTCAGAGGGTCAGAAGCTCACCCACGTCACATTATTCACCTCTCAGGCGTTTGGAAAACCCCAAATAAAAATGAATGTTCAGAGACTGCGTCATCTCGAGCGCCAGCCAAGACAGAATCCACTGGGAATGTCGACAGCAGATGAAGGGGAGCCAAAGGCCAGATGCTTTCATCCAAAGAAGGGAAAGAGAATGTAGATTGGTCTGAAGATGTGAGGAGCCTTTTACATCCAAGAGACCAAAGCAAAATTCAGCACTCGGCCTGGAGAGCCCCTCCACTGCCCTCAACACTCTGGGGCCCCTAGCCTCGGTCCTCACCAACACAGCCTTCACCACACCCCAAGACTGCAGTGCATCTGTGCTCCCCACTGCACTCCTAGACCAGAGACCCCACAGCCTCTGGGGCTCCCATGCTCACTGCCAGCTCCAGTCTCCACCCAGCCCACCGTGCTGTGCCTCCCGCCACACCTGACACCACTGTGGGCCCCAGAGCAGCTATTTAAGGGCCAAGAACCCATGAGTGGGTGGTTGTGTAAAAGCAATAGAAGTGATTCTTTGAAAGACCAACAGCTCAAGTTCATCAGCTGCAGGAAGGAAGCCAAGCCTGGTTTTGCATCCCCTTCTCTGGGTCTTCAGATGAGCGGGCAGGTGGGCAGGTCCCACCACAGCTGGGACTGCTTCACAGATCTCTCTTGCTGCAACTCCAGTAAAAATGGTGATCTATGGAGAGCAACCAAGGAGTCATGTATTGAGAGGAATCTTGACCGAAACTCTCCGTGAATACCAAGTATCCTACACTTTAAATGGGCAGCAGCGGGTTTACATGTCCCTCTGGCCCTTGTTGGTCTCACTGCAGGTCTCCAAAGCCTTGATGCCTAGTCGTCCACAGCTTGGAGGAACTGACAGGCCCCACGGTACAGTTCACCGTTTCCCAGTACAGTAACTGTACTCCGTTACTAATGCATCTCTACTCATCAAGTGATCACTCCTGCAAAAAGGTTGGATGATTTGGGCAGAAAACTTCCAAGATTGTGACTGTTGTGACCTCACAGAGAAGCCAGGGAGAGAGTTATTGGTTGCCAGGGAGCACGTGGCCCTCACCCTTTCCCACTGATGGTTCCCTTTGGCACCACAGGTAGGAATTTTGCTCCTGCTAGCCCAGAACTGAGTCCGCAAGCGTGCAACCCAGCCTGGGATGTCGACTTCAGCTTTTGGGGCCTTACCTGTGACTCTCCCATAAATCATGTTCCCTTCTCAGCTTCCAGAGTCACCACTCAGACCCGCTGGTACTTTGTTTAGATGTTATAAATGTGACGAGCAGACACGCCGGATCTCAAGTGAAGATGTGGGCTAGGTGTTGTTGTTGATCATTTTTACCGTGGGTTATGTTTTCTTATCTCTAACTCTGCAACAGTTATATTTGGATAAGGATAGTCTTCACCTGCTGCCATCCATCCCTACACAAACAGGCTTTGAAACACTCTGTAGCTTATTTTGTGTTGTCTTTTGTAGTTGATGTTTTAATGAGGGTTAGGAAACTTCAGTGCAAGATGGAATGAACAATCATTGTTATTGTAATAACAACAGTAACGTAGCTACAGAAAGTCAAGTCCCCACCACACGCCGGGCTGCTGCACTTCCGAGTGCTTTATAAACACTGTTGGGCTTGTTTTTCACAGCAGCACTGAGAAGTCAATCCTTCTACGCCTGTTTTACAGATAAGACTAGTTTGGGGCTCAAACTCAAAGAAACCCACCAAGGAAGGAGCAGAGTAGACTGGGGATCTGATGATCCTTTAGGCCAGTTTGGGGTCCTTGTGGCCCTCCTTGGTTTCACTGCAGGTCTCCAAAGCTCAGAGAAACTGGCAGGCCCCGAGGTACAGTTCACCCTTTCCCAGCAGCTCAGCTCACCCACAGGGCCAAGGACCCCCCAAAAGAGGACAGTGGGAGTGAACTGCTGGAATAGCTCACAGCCCAAAAGCCAGATTCTCCAGCATGGTTCATAGTTACATTATAAGCCATTGTATTCCTTTACAGTAAGTAGACCTTTTCCTTTTATCAGCCATTTTTGGATCAACATACTTGTATGATGTAGTCATTTAACAGACTTAGAATTAACCCCTTACCAGGCCTGACAATGCTCAGATCAGGTAGTCATTGACATTTTTAAAAAATGGTTTCAAGTGTTCCTCAAGTAAACTCAAAATGGTTTAGAGATATTTGACCAGATTATCCCAGTGCTGAGACTGACAGATGCTCTTGTAAACACCCTTCACCCTTCTCCACTGTGTGGATATAATTAAATAAGTTACAGCAAGTCTCCTTTACTTCCCTTGTGTTCCCTTTACAGAATAGAGGTAATTCTCCAAATACAGAATGATTTTAAGGATTGTACAGGAGTTCATTCCATCTCTAAAGTTAAGCACCCAGAATTATTTCATAATTCATTTTCACAGCACCCCTGTGTTCAGATTGAAATATCTCATTTGCTCCAGGTCCCACAAACCAGAGAACACCCAGGCACTCATCTGAAGGACTCTAGTCAACCAGTGCGTGTTTACAGTCGCTGAGGGGGAAAGAATAAGGGTCAAATTGCTCTATTTAATACAATGTGTAATACAGTGTCTTCCACTGAAAGGGAACTGACCCTGACAGTAGCTGATGAAAATTGGAATCTGCATTCTGATTCCAGATGTAAAAATAATGTGAGATATTAACTTTACATCTAAAAAAATAAGTTAAACTCCTTATCCAAATTACTTGGGAAATACAATATTCTGATGAAAAGAGATGCCATTATACACCCTATGAAAATTTCAAATGTTGAAAGATTGTCAACATCTTTACAGGTACCACATTAAAACTATACTGCTGGTGTTTTTCCTTGTTAATTTGCAGGGCACTTGTAGATCTGTAGACCTCAGGGTCATTGATATGTATGGCTTATGGTTGAAAATTCTCTAGAGGAAAGCATTTAGTTACTTGGCTTTGGTTCATTTGAGTTACAAATAAGTCAGAGTAGACTTCTGTGTATTCCTTTCTTGATGAGATGCAACTTTCAACCGAGAGGGAAACTGGCACTGATTTCTCAGTGGTAACCCTTGTTCTCTGTGTCTTTTCTGGATACAACAGTTCTGTGGAAACAAATCATTGAACGCAATGGAGGAGTCCTCACCAGTGCCTTGAATGTCAGCTGCCTGGCGAAGGTCACTGACGGCTTCACCCAAGGACATATAGTCAAAGTGGTTAAAGCTGTGCTCACAGATCAGAGACTCCGGCGGCAAATTCATAAACCTCTCACTGCAGTTGAGTTTATTACCGCAATAACCAGCATGGACCCGGTGTACAAAGAGGAAGAAGAGAGCTTTAAGGTAAATGGAACACCCTGATGACCAAATCTTAGCAGCAAACACTCCTCACACTGCCTCCTCCCTCTGGAGTTCCATGGGTTTCATGAATTAGAACTCTGCCATATACAATGACATTTGGAAACCTAAAATTTTGGATGACAAAATCTTTGGGGTTTTGGCATTAAAGCATGTGTCTTCCAAATTTCAGGAAAATCATGGTGTGTGGCCTTATATATTAACAGCCAAATTGCAGAATTGAGTGGCAACTTCAAAACCATTGGATTCACATAGGCACATATACTTATTTTGGTTTTTAATTCCTATTTGGTATTATGGAATAAGTTTTGCATAGAGAAATCATTCCCCAAATAGGATAGTTCAAGCCAATGCTGTTTGGGGCCCATAATTGTCATGGAACACTTTGTTTTTTAGTTTCAGTTCATTTGCAATAGGAAGCCACAAGATAACTCATCAAAATTTAGTTTCCGATGTTTGAATACATTCTGACCCATTCGCAGAAATTTCTGGATCTGAAGGAAACTTTGAGAATTATTTCTTCCAACATCCTCTCTTATAGGAGGAGTGCCCAGGCCAGTGGGCACTCCTCAAACTCTGCTTGCTCTCCTTTAAGCCAAAATAAATACAGTGGTGTTGTCTTTCTGAAGGAAGTTTTCCCTGGCCAACTCCAAAGGTAAGAGACGATTATATGCATCAATTGAAGGCCACCACAGTATCGGCTGTGCAGTCACCAGAAGGGGCATTGAAATTCTCATCCGAGCCCATCTCTGGGAGCCTGCTTCACATCAGGAAAATCTCCCTCTGCGACACATCACTTCTCCAGCAAATCTAAAACTATGATTCTTTCCTGGTTTGCCCCTAATTCTTCAGTGAAGCATTAGAAAGGTGACAAATAGTCACAATAATGATTTCAGCAATAATGGTCTAGCACAGGATTGGCAATCTTTTTCCATAAAGGTCCAGATAGTAAGTATTTTAGGCTTTGAGAGCCATGCAGTCTCTATCACAGGTATTCAGTTGTGCATCAGAGTACAAAAGTATCCATACACAATACAGAAGTGAATGCGTATGGCTGGGTTCCAATAAAACTTTATTTGCAAAAACAGACAACAGGCCAAATTTGGCCCATCAGCCATATTTTGCTGACCCCTGCTCTAGCAAGGCTGAAAAAAGATTTAACTCTAGCTGAGTGTTTACCAAGCATTTGAATTATTAACATATTCTCATTAACTGTTTAAACCTGTTCATAATTGCTGATATTATCCTCTTCAGATGATACATCATATTCTTTTCTGAAATTCCCAATTTTTTTCTCCTTTCTAAAATACTAATTTTCCTCCTTATTTTGAGAAGTTCGATGATAGGGTGTGGAAGCCTATCCTTTCTCATGGCTGAGCCTTTAACTTTCCAAAGTAATCTCTAGAAGTTTTTCTATCTATAGGTGCTTGAGGTAGATCATACTATTCAAGAAAAGGAATTACTACCCTTTTATGACCTGGGATGAGAATGCATATGCTTCACACATCCATTCTTGGTGTATTTGTTTGCTCTATTCATTTTCAAAAGAAACTGCATCATTTTCCCACCATTCCCCTTTCCACTCAATCCCTTTGTGCTTCCATTACAGCGCCAGTGCTTGGCCCTGTGCCTGGCCCCAAGTAGATGCTTAATAAATTTGTTTAGGGACACGTTAATTAAACACATGGATAGATGGAATGACACCCTCACACTCTCCTGAATAATGTGATACCATTGCTATGGTTCCTGCTAATGAGGCAAACCCTGAGAAATTTCCCCTCGTTGTGCTTCCGACAACGTTATCTCAGATGAAGACCTTGCAGATTCTCCAAGCACGTTCTACCCTGCTCCACAGACATGATGGAGACAATATGTATGAAAACGATGATAGTAAGTCTAATAATGTTAGCTAACACTTATTGACTGCTTATTATATGCCAGCCACTGTACTGACTCACTTAGACTCATAACACCCTGTTTTGCACACGAGGAAACTGAGATATGGAAAGTCATGGTAGACTGGATAATGGCCCCTCAAGGACGTCTGCATCCTCATCCCTGGAACCTGAAAATAAGTGAGGTTCCACGGCAGAGGCAGTATAAGGCTGCAGATGGAGTAAGCCTGCTAGTCAGCTGACCTGAAGATAGATTATCCTGAATTACCCTGGCGAGTCCAGTGTGATCATGAAAAGCAGAAGAGGGAGTTGGAAGAGAGAACCAGAGAGAGCAGTCTGAGAAGGCATGTTGGTACTCCAGGCAGCCCAGCGTTGCTATCCAAAGGTGGAGCAGGGGCCACAAGCCAGAAAAGCAGGTGATTTCTGAGAGCTGCAAAAGGCAAGGGAAAGATTCTCACCTGGAGCCTCCAGAAAGGGACATGGCACTGCAGACACCTCGATTGTCACCCAGTGAGGCCCGTTCCCGGTTTCTGACCTACAACCCTGTGAAATCATAAATGTGTGGTTTTAAGCCACCATGTTTCTGGAAATTTGCTGCAGCAGCAATAAAATAAACAATACAAAAGGCAAGTAAAGTAACAACTAGAAAGTAGCAGAGCTGAAATTCATACGTTTCCCCAAAGCCAACTTCATTAACTATATTCTATACTGGGTCTCGGTAAATTAGGAGTTCATCGCCTTAAGTACATGGCCACGTCACCTTGTGTTCAAAACAGAGCCAAGGTGAAAAGGAGGAGGAGGGAATCCCCCAGTGCCACTAACAGAGAGGTACATCTCAAAGATAAGAACAACTGCATGAGCTAATGCATGGGTAGCCTAGGGGTGTATAAGATCCAAACAGTAAGGCAAGGGGAGGCCTGTGAGAGACAGAACGCTGGAACTGCACGAAGCTGGGACACTTTATAGATTGCCATGAGGAAGTATCAAGGAACTTGTGATCTTCTCCAGGGTCTAGGTGGGGAATAAAAGTGGCCCATAAGAAATCAAAATCCAAGCTACACCATGCACGTCAAATTTCCAAATCTGTACTACCTCCATAGTCCCAGAATCTCAAGTTGAAATATTAATATAATTTTTAAAAATGATATGGTATCATTAAAACCCCTGAAGTCACATCAAAAGCAAAATTAAAAACCACTCTGTATGGAAATTTAGCCAAGTCAGGGTATATAGGATTCCTACAGGAAATACCAGCCTTGCTGAAGATGAGTTCATAATAAAAAATTATGAGCCACAAGCAATAATCTCCCCCAAGGACAGTCAGCAAATGCAAATAACAGAATAGCACTACCAAGAATCTGAGATAAAAGGACATTCCGAAAGAGACTACAAAATAAGTATGTTTAAATTAAAAACCAGAAACATTAGGGAGGAAAAACAGGCAAATTTGAAAAAGAACCAAATAGAACTTTTGATAGTGAAAAAATATATATAGTCATTAAAATTAAAAACTCAGTGAATCGAGGCAGGCAGATCACCTGAGGTCGGAAGTTCAAGACCAGCCTGACCAACATGGAGAAACTCCGTCTCTACTGAAAATACAAAATGAGCCGGGCGTGGTGGCACATGCCTGTAATCCCAGCTACTTGGGAGGCTGAGGCAGTAGAATCGCTTGGACCCAGGAGGCGGAGGTTGCAGCGAGCCGAGATCGTGCCATTGCACTCCAGCCTGGGCAACAAGAGCAAAACTCTGTCTCAAAAATATATAAATAAATAAATAAATCAGTGAATAAATATCTGTGGATTTGACAAAACTAAAGAGAAAAAACAAAAGAACTGAAAAAGGGAGCAAAGAAAATTGCCTAGAATGCAGCATAGAGAAAAATAAAGGATAGAAATCAAAGAGAGTTTAAGAGTTGGCTGAACATGGTGGCTCATGCCTGTCATCCCAGCACTTTGGGAGGCCAAGGCAGATCGCTTGAGGTCAGGAGTTTGAGACCAACCTGGCCAACATGGCAAAACCCTGTCTCTACTAAAAATACAAAAATTAGCCAGGCGTGGTGGTACACACGTGTAGTCCCAGGCTGAGGCAGGAGAATCCTTGAACCTGGGAGATGGAGGTTGCAGTGAACCAAGATCGTGCCATTGCACTCCAGCCTGGGTGACAGAACAAGACTCTGTCTCAAAAACAAAAACAAAAAGAACGGTTTGTGAAAGATAAAATAATACCTGCTTCTTTTATGACTGGATCTTTGATATCCCTAATATCACCAGAAAGCATTAAGGGAAGCATCAATCAAAACATCATTATAAGACTTGGTTCTGTATATGAGTTTAGAGGATCTTACAGAAGCAACTGTAGGACTGCTATGGAGGAAAGAATAAGGAGAGAGAGACAGAGCCGAAAACAAAACTTCCCACTCTAAATGAATCTTGGCCAGGCATGGTGGCTCACGCCTGTAATCTCAGCACTTTGGGAGGCGAAGGCAGGTGGATCACTTGAGGTCATGAGTTTGAGACCAGCCTGAACAACATGGCAAAACCCCATCTCTACTAAAAATACAAAAATTAGCCAGGTGCGGTGATGCGTGCCCGAGCCAGACGCCATAAAACACACACACACACACAAAATCTGAAAATCAAAATTCGAAAACATTTTAGGAAATCTAGTGCTAAATACAATCTGACAAAATATTTAAATTAATACAATTAATATGTTCAAAAAAATAAATGAGAGTATGACTTCCATTAGAAATGTACAGAACATTTTGGGGGAAAAAATGAAATGAGAAGAGATAATTATGAAAAAATGTTACAGAAAGAAAGCTTAGAGAGTCAGAAACTGAGGTCTGAATTGCAGAAAAAAAGAAAGCTTAGAAATTTAAAATATGGTAATCAGTATAAAGTGGCAAAGGAAATGAAAGAGGTATGAACTCTAAACTAAACATGGTCAAAGAGCAATCTGTGGACCGGAAGATGGTCCTGGGGAGCACCCCCTGGTAGTCAGTACAGAAAAACAAGAAGGTAAAATCCATAAAAGTATAAAGATCCATCAAAGGTGGGTTGAAGACGCTGACCTTCATTAATGGAAGTTCTAGAAGAAAAGAATACAATAAGTGTCAGAGGAACAACTGTTTAAAGACATTATTACTGAGAATTTTCCTCAATTAAAGATAGATTGAAAATAAACTCCAAGTGAAATAATTTATTAACTAATAAACTCCTAGTAACCAGCAGAACAAATCAAATAAATCTATACCTAGATATATTATTGGGAACTTAAGAACAAGATTAAAAGCCAGTCTTAAAAGCTACCAGATTACCTACCAAGAAACAATTGGGAAATCAGACATCTCTTTAACAACCATAGGTGCCAGAAGATAGCGAAATAATATCTACAAAGTGCTAAGGAAAAACAACTGTCTGCCTAATATTTGTATCCAGCTAAACTGGCATACAAGAGACAGGAGAAAAGAGATATTTTAAGACATATGAAGCCAGGCACCATGGCTCACGCTTGTAATCCCTACACTTGGGGAGGCTGAGGCAGGCAGATCACTTGATGTCAGCAGTTCGAGACCAGCCTGGCCAACATGGTGAAACCCTGTGAAACCCTGTCTCTACTAAAAATACAAAAATTAGCCAGGCGTGTTGGTGCACGCCTGTAATCCCAGCTACTCAGGAGGCTGAGGCAGGGGAATCACTTGAATCAGGGAGGCAGAGGTTGCAGTGAGCTGAGATCGCACCCTTGCACCCTAGCCTCGGCGACAGAGCGAGACTCAGTCTCAGAAAAAAAAAAAAAAAAAAAAAAAACAGATGTACAAAGACTGAGAGAATTTCCCACTTACAGCACTTCAGAGAGCAATTTAGCCATATCAAGTAAAATGGAAGATGTTCATTCTCTACAACCCCAGGAGTTCTATTTCTATCTCTGTGCCCTAAAGAAGTTCTCTCACATAGGTACAAGGAGATGTGTAAAAATTGTGAACTTCAGCATTCTTCATAATAACCAAAAATTCAGATGTCATATATCCATTACTAGGACAATTGATAAATAACACGTAATATAATCCTGCAATGAAATATTGCTATTATAAAGTTTATAAACCCAAATGTTTCTTAGGTTTCAAATAAAATGCAAAGGTTGAGAAAAATGCCATTGTGGGGCCAGTTACAATCACTAAGTTCTTGGTTGGTATTTGGGCTTCATTATTTCTACCGTGGTTTCAACAGCACCTCCCCCGGAGTAGTTGAATGACCGTCCATTGTTCATTGAACATGCCCACATGTGAACCATGAGCACCCTTCACATTCCCGAGAAAACCCAACCCCAGGACACAGTAGGATGCCCGGAAAATAGGCGACTTTGTTGAGAAGGATTGCTGGTTAGATTTAGCCTGTGATTCTCTGAAATTGTTAACTCCCTGAGTTAACAAATCATGCAGAAATACAGGTTGAAGTTTCAAATCATGCAGAAAAACAGGCTGGAAAACCCACTGAGAAAGAGGTTGTATTAAGCATACCTTAAATGCCCAAAGTACAATGGCTCCTTGCCCCTTCCTGCTTAGCAGGCTTTTCTTTATTTTTAAGAGTATTGCGGTGAATTGGTATCATTCTGACCTTTTCCGAAACTTTTATTGTATTTCAGAACTGGTATGCCAAAACCCCTCTGGGTAAAAAACGAGCCTTGGCGATAACAGGTGGCAGCACAGAAAAGGCAAAGGACAAAGGGAAAAGGAAAGAAAAGAAAAAGGCAAAAAAGAAAAAGTAATGCCTTTCTGAAGAACCATGCTTGAGTCTCTCTGGGATGGAGAGGACCCCAACTCGCCAACGAAAAGATTCACCATTGCCTGCCTGAGGAAGCCCTTAGGGGAAGGAACTTAGCAGTTTGCAGGTGAGCTGATGCCGCAAACCTGCTAACCACTGCGTGTGCTGTTATGCCTTTCCCAGGCTGGACACCTAGCTGGGTGTTCATCACAACTTTCCATAGCTTTAATCCACGCCAAGTTTGTATATAACTGAAATTCACTCTTGACGCCCTCCACAGTCTTTCCAAGTTGGACTCTTCCTGTCATCAGTACTAGCTGTCAAATTTAAAATGTGACAGTTAAAGAATATTCTGGTTTGACAATTAGTAAGCAATGAGTGTATCATCAGTACACTAGCTTTTTATTAATGGATGTACACTGTATAGTATCTTGCATCTATTTTAATAAATTAATTCTTTTGCTCTAGTAATAGATTTTATATAATGAAATAAAGCTGTTGTCCTTGAACTGACTCGGTAATTTGGTTGCTGGAACTAAAACAGGATCTTACAAATGAACTGTTTCAACATCCTAATTTTGAAGTTGAGATAGCTGAAGTCCAGGTCCCACTGCTAATATTGGGGCCTGGACATCATCAGCCCCGCCTAGTCCTCGTTGGAAGGACTGAAAACTTGTCAGGCCAATGACTGGATGAAAAACCATGGCATAAAAATGGGGTAAATGCAGAGAAGAGAAAGCCTACATGAAGAAATAAAACAGGGTAAATAAGAAAAAGATTAAAGAGTAGGGAAAGCTCAAAAGAGAAATTTAAATTGTGTGAGGATGTGAAAGGTTATTGGTGGAAGATAGCAAGTAACCCACTTCTAAATTGTGGTAAGAACACAATCAGAGGAAGTAGACTTCAATTGAGATGGGATGGATTTAACTTGAATTTTAAGAATACCCTGTCTGACAGTTTGGGGTTAGACCACAGAAATTCATAAAATCTCACACTGCATAGACCAGGTCAGGCATCCAAGTTTTACCAGGATTCCCAGTGACTTGGATCATCAATGACCAAGAAGGTTCATGGTCCCCAGGTGTCTTCTGACCACCAGCACACCCCCTAGCCTGTGTCTGTACACAGCAGACTGACACAAATTGGGACAGACAGAGACAGTCACAGGCTGATGTGCCCTGGACAGTTCCGCACTCCCCATGAAGTCATCCTCCTCCTGAGTGTCCTCTTGAACAAACTGCTGCCTTCAGGGTGCCCTCCACTGATTTGCCTTCTCATTACCAAAGGTGCCCCAATTTCCACAGACTCCCCTTACCCACTTCAGACTATGTCTAGCCAAAGCCCAGGGTGGCCTGAGAAACGGCAGACTCCCCTACCCTAACATCCCAGAGTGATTTCACATTCATGTCTCCAAGATGGTTCTGCCAAGATCCTTTCACATGTCATGAGACCCCACTTATGGCCCAAGAAGAGAACATCAGGGCTCTAGGATTTGATGTCCATTGCAAAGTAACGAGATCTGCACCGCAAAGAAATGAAACGTATGAGGGTAAAAGTAAACCATTTTTTAAAATACCATTTCACTTGATCTTAGTTTCATGACAAGCATGCTTTTTCAGAACTCATAAAAACCTGTGCAGGTACCATTTAATAAACAGTAATGGAGTGATGGAAACTTGATACATATGCTTTAGAGCACCATCCAATAGAACTTTCTGCAATGATGGAAAGTTCTAGATCTGTGATCTCCCAGTAGGAGTCACACTAATCTACCAGGCTACTAAGCACTCAAAATGTGGCTGGTGCAACTGAAGAACTGAATTTTTAATTTTATTCAATGTTCATTTCCATTTAAATAGCCACACGTGGCTGGTGTGACTGGTGTATTGGGCAGGATGGCATCAGAGTAACTTAAGTTTAAAAATTGGTAAAGATATCTAAATATCCTTTCTACATGCTCACTTCCTTTTTCCCAGCACACTAACATGGAGATGTGATTTCCAGGGCCTCACTCAGCCTTTTCCCAAAGGATGGCTTCCTGCCCTGCCCAATGCTAGGTTTGTGCTCTACTTCCACAATATAAGAATTAAAGAAAGAGGAAAGAAACATGAAAAGCAGCTCAACAGTCAAAGACAGGTTGATTTTGGAGAATAAACCTGAGTGGGGCTTCTGGCTGAGTTAGGTCAGAGGCATTCTCTCTTACAGACCAAGAGTATTTCAAGGTTTAGGGCAGGAGAGCTTATCACAGGCTTGGAATGTTTCTGTGTCTTTTTGTCCCGCTTATCTGGGAGGGAGAGTTGTGTGTCTGTTCCCATACATCTTCTGCAGCTGCAGGCATACCCACCGAGTCTGCTTTTAGCTTCCCTATCTTAGTGCTAAGGGAAAGGAATGTACCTAAAGGGAAAGGAATGTACTTATTAGGGTCCATTGTTTTACTGGGTCCCGTTGTATGAGTGTGAAGTTTGTTGGTTACCCAAGAGACTTTCCCCCCACCCTCTGTGCCCGAGCTGTCTTATATGGGTGTTACTCTCTACTCTTTCTGGCTGCTTGCAGTTAGAAGAGAAGTGATATCCTAGAAATGCAAGAGGCTAGAAAGGGAGCTGGAACTGTCTGAGATGTCGGTGCTCCTGCCCTGTCACACGTGGGGCCATGAACTCTGTCTGAAATCTTGGCTAGTGTCAGCCAGCCCCGCCTCTCAGCCAAAGATGCACACACTTTTCTGCTGCCCATGGATCAGAGGACCCTTTGTCTGTCACTGCAAAGTCCACCAGAGCCAACACGCCATAGCTCAGCACATGCTGGTATTGACATCACAGCCTGCTGCTTTGTATGTGAGTGGATGTGGAGAGGGGGTGTAGATACGCTTAGATACACTCACACACATACTCATATTCTGCGTGTTTTACACAAATGGTAACATGCCATTAGAACATATATGCTGTTAAAGCTTCTTGCTGTTTTTGCTTAATTCTGTAACTTGAATATTGTTCTATATCAGCACATACAGACGGGCCTCATTTTGTATTCTCTCCATACTACCCCACTTTATAGATACACCATCATTTATTTAATCAGTCCACTCTGACAGATATTTAGATTATTTCCACCCTTCTGCTAGTCCATACTTGCTGTAATAAGTGCCTTTACATAGTCTTCATGGGTGTATACAAAAAAAAATTATGTAGGATTAATTCCTAGAAGGAAAATTACTGGGCCAAATTACCTCTGAGTCTTTCATTTGGATAGCTATTGACAGACTGTCCTGTAAAGAGGCACTGGTCACACCAACTCTGCAGGCAAGGGCATGGTTCCTTGTCATCCACGGAGTAGGTCAACAAACTGTGAGCCTATTCACCATCCATGCTGAAAACCCAGAGTCCTCCTGGAAGATTAGACCGCCATGCCCTGGAACTCCCACTTTTATCTGACATGGAGAGGAAGCACGGCAGCCCTGTGGGAGGAAATGGGAGGAAGGCGATGGCGGGGCTGGACCGGCGGAGGGACCGGCGGAGGGACCTGAGGACTCCTCAGACCTCTGCTAGGGCCTCAGCTGCCCTGGGCCATTATGTGACAATTAGCTCCTCTTGAGCACATTCTGAAGTGGAGGGGACAGTAATTAATACCATTAACCCTCATTAAGGGAGCATTCTGTGGGATGGAATCTGATTAAAGTGCAATTTGAGCTCTCAGGTGGCTCTGCATTTAGCAATAAGTAGGTCCCAGGTCCACAACCAATGCCAGGGCATGCTGAAAAGATGCTCCTGAGACCGAGACTGTCGGAGCTTCACCAAACAGCTTCAGAGATAGCAAATTGAAAACACCCTGATGCTGAAGAATCTATGTTTGAGACCCTTTTAAAACACATAGCCACATTTAATACAAAGGCCGTAATTGTGGTAGGTGGTCACAGGGCTGTTTCACAGGAGTGACATGATTTTTAGCCTCTAATGATACTATGGAACCCAAGCCATGGCGTAAGTGGCTTGTCCTGTCCTTGAAAGTCTTAAGACTTGAATTGGAGAGAAGCATGCAGTAATGCTAAACGAACCCAAGGAGACAAAGCCTGTGGGTTGTAAACCAAGCTGGCAGCCGCCCAAGCAACGGGATGTGGGAAAGCAAAAGGACATTGGCCCAAAATGTGTGTGTGAAGGCACCTGAAACCTCCACCACTAGAATCATTCATTCGTCAATGCAGCGTCGACCCCCTAACAATTCTGCTGCGTTCGAATTCACAGTTGCAGCACAGCAGTGGTTTTTTGGCTCATGCCACGGAGCACTCTCTGTGTGCTGTGCACAGTGCTAGGGGCTGAGGATGCAGGAGTGAGCTGCTTTGCAGTCTAAGGGGGAAGGACACATTAAGAAAATGGACATACAAATAAATGTGCAAGGCCAGATCCATGCAATGAACATGAGGAAGAGAAAACCCTGCCTAGGCTGAGGGATCAGGAGTTTCATCCCTGCAAGAACCCTTTTCTGATGGAGAATCTGAGAGTTCGTGACGAAGTGGCAGGTCTCTCTGATTCTTTGGCTCTTCTTAACGGCTGCACCTACTGCCTATATAATCACCCAAGATAGTGTGTTCAAGGTCCCTGGCACAGAGGTACAATCAGTAAGTGTTTATTGCTTTATAGATATTCAGTGAGTTTCTCACGTTGAGCTTTGGGGAGGCAACTGGGAACCCAGGAGTGCGGGGTAGGTTCTGGCCTCTCCACTGCATACTGGTTTTGTTGTCAGGTGACTGTCAGAGTTCCCAAGGCCACTAATCCAGTTCCTCAACGTGGCAAACAAACACAGTACCTTTTTTTGGTCAAGAGATTAAGCATCCTAGAAATGTAGTCTCTTCAGTCAACTCTAGTGGTTTACAGCAAGGTTCTGACTGACCCTAACTCAGGCTTCATCCCAGCTGCATCCTGGGCAGAGCCTGGATCAGTCCCAGCTCAGCACACAGCGTCCTTCCTGGATGTGCATTTCATCTTTGCCTCCCTGGGCTCTCGTGAGGAGTTAACTGAGCTGTGTACCCAGCACAATGCCTGGCACGAGGGCACATTCTCAGTGAACACCGCCTGCTGTTCAATTATTGCTGAGTGCCCAAAGCAGACCCCGCCCAGCAGAACAGGTGCCACAGGGGCGGGCTCTACCTTCCTGGAATGGAAGTGCAGGCTGCGATGAAGAAGGAGGAGGGGCATGGCAGAAGGGTCCTGTGAGAAGCCCCTGGGGCCCCAAGAAAGCTGGGGCCCTTCTCCAGGTCCTCCCACCACCCTTCTTCTCATTTCACTCCGCTCTCTTTCTCCTGCTGGGGCAGATTTGGGGGTGCCCTGCATGTCTACACACAGAAACACATGCACACATACAAACACCACCTCTTGAATATCCCTGGCTCCACCTCTGGAGCCCTTGAGCCTGGCGCCCACCATTCCTCAGGCCTCGCTCCTTACCCGTCTGGAAAGGAAGATGAGCCGGGTGCTGTCAAGAGGATTGTGGCTTTATGGGAAACTCACTGGGCTGGGCTAATT